GAAATGCCCTGCTCTTCGCCACCGGCGCATCAGCTCGGCCCTGACGGCCATCCGTGATCCTCAAAGTAGCAGGGGCGGGTGCATGCACCTTCCCTGCTGCAGCTAAACTGGGACACTGGGACCTTTTGTGTCCCCTCTGATTGCACTGAAAGCAAATCAGATCCGATGCTGTAACCGTAGTGGCAGGGGCCGTACAATCCCTACTCATATGCCCGGTCCGACCGCACTTGTAGCAGCCGGAACTCCCTGCCTTGCACGCCCCCTCGTGCAACCTCCCACACTTGCCACATCGACCGTGGCTCTGCTGACCCCTGGACCTGTGATCTGAAACCTTGGGCTTTTTGCCCACACTGCCTGCACCCGAAACCGCCTCCGGTTTCCTCTTCCTCTCCATCTCGAGATCAATCTCCCTCTCTCTGGCTCTAGCAATCATGTCGTCCAGTGTTTTGCAACTGGACCGGCTCACAAACATACGAATGTCGCTCCGCAACATCTCGTGATAACGGGCCTTCTTCATCTCCTCATCTGCTGCATACTGAGGAACAAGAAGGGCCCGCTCCCTGAACTTGGCGGTGATCTCCGCCACTGTCTCGGTAGTCTGGGTAAGATCCTGGAACTCCCTGGCTAACTGTTGCACCTCAATGACCGGTGCGAACTCCGCTCTGAACCTGGTAGAGAAATCAGCCCAGGTCATGGCATCCAATGCCGCATCATCCCCGATGGTATGTCCTACCTCCTCCCACCAGTCACGTGCCCTGTCCTTCAGGAGACAGGACGCCAATCTGACCTTGTCCCCCTCGGGACATCTGCTAGTGCGGAATGCGTTGGCCACATCCGCCAACCACCTGGTACTCGCTATGGGGTCCCGTGCCCCGTGATAGTCAGGAGCCCCGCATGCCCTGAACTCCCTGAAAGTGAGTGTGCGCGACCCCATCACGGCCGCCATCTCAGTACGGAAGGTACTCAGTCTCTCATCCATCATCTCCAAAATGCCCTCCTTGATCGAACCGAAGATCACAGGAGTCTGCTCAAGTATGATGCGAGTAATCTCAGAAGAAAGGAACTCTCTGGTCTGCTCATCCATCTGTCCGACCTCCGGGTCGGATCCCGATCCTGATCCTCCTCCGGCATCTGAACTGCCGGCTGCTGGCCTCGGACGCAAAACTACCATTCTGAAACATATCATAACAACATCAGAACATTGAAATATTTCAAGGGATCATGATACGACTACTAGCTTCCTGGTCTAATCTTGGCCTTCCTTGATTCGAGTACGGATCCTCTGCTTCCAGTAGTATGGGCCCCTACTACCTTCCACATCTATCCGTACTTTCCTCAAGAACTGCCTCGACTTCCCCAAGTCACTTCTACCGCTGCTATTCTCTGCTACTCTCACCCTAGGCTTGCCCTAGAGAAAACTCGAGCTCAATACGACTGGTCCTCAGCTGCTGTAGGTCTCCTTGCACTGCCAGTTAGCCATCACCTGAACACCATCACATGTGATGAGGATCGGATAATCCTTCAAGTAAAAGATCCGTCCCTACAACGGTTGGACTCAAACAAGAGCTGCGCAGTAGGGCCAGTTCCAGCACTCTGGGATTATTCAAACCTGATTACATGTGGTGTGACGTGTCCACCTAATGGCTAACTCCCATTACTCGGAATCCCACTAAGCACAAAGCAAGCAGCATTCGGACAAGGGAAACAGACTCACGCAAGCTATTCTTATAACAAGAAACTGCACTAGCATAGGATGCTAAGCTCATACTATCAGGCATAACCTAAACAGGCTATCCTACTGCTGTCTACTCAATTCTAGCATGCAATATTCATAGAGCTGTAACACATAAGCAGGCACATAAGGCATTCTCCTACACCCTTAGTCCTATTCTAGCATGCTGTTCTACTAAACTGAAATTGAACAAATAACTTGTATGGGTAATTTGGGAGTACTTACTTGAGCTCGGTTGACCGCATGCACACACCTCTATCTTAAAACAATTCTTTTCCTTCTAAGTGTTTTCAAAATTCTTTTGTAAAAACATTTTATTAAAAATCTTTTATTTCCCCTTAGTTTGAGTTCAGATACACCCGAGAGTGTATCCGAATCCCTCAAACCAGGGCTCTGATACCAACTTGAAACGACCCAAAAATACGACCCAAAAATTTCGTTTTTAATACCATCAAAACTATAATCAGAGTATCATATAAATAAACCATGCGTGATATGCCCCAAAATATAATAAAGTACTGTGCGGAAACTGTAACATACTATATCCAAAAACAACAACTAAATCAAATCCAGACTAAAGCTGAAACGGTGGTGTGTGCGATGCCGTCACCCAGAGCTCTTCCCTTTGCTTGCGGAAGTACCTGAAACCAAAACTGAAACTGTAAGCACGAAGCTTAGTGAGCTCCCCCAACTTACCACATACCATACAACAACATATAAACACATATTGGGCCTTGCCCACTGCATCGGGCCGGGGCCCGGAAACTGCATCGGACCGAAGTCCGGAACTGACTGGGACCTTGTCCCCTGCATCGGACCAAAGTCCGGAACTAACTGCATCGGACCGGAGTCCGGAACTAACTGCATCGGACCGGAGTCCGGAACTGACTGCATCGGACCGAAGTCCGGAACTGGCTGCATCGGACCGAAGTCCGGAACTGACTGCATCGGACCGAAGTCCGGAACTGACTGGGACCGTGTCCCCTGCATCGGACCGGAGTCCGGAACTGACTGAGCATAGCATAGCATATCATAACAAACATACTGCATACTGCATCGGGCCGCAACCCGGAACATAAAACACATAACACATAGCACATGAATTATGTCTGAACCACGAAGGCATCAAACATACTAACTACTACATCGGACCGAAGTCCGGAAACTACTATTAACTGGACGGGCCGGCATTGTGGCCTTAGACCCCCCCTACGGGAAGGAAACTCACCTCGTAAGCTAGCGGATGAGTGTGTGGCTCGGAAAGCTAACGGCTGCTGCTCCTGAATCTCCTCGGCTACAAATCCATAAACACACTCAATCAATCACTAGCACTACACTCAGGGTAAAATGACTCTTTTACCCTTGGTCAAAGTTGACTTACTCAGGGCTGACTCGCCGAGTCGGGATACCCGACTCGCCGAGTCCTAGACTCTCCGCTCAACTCTTACATGCTGTTACTCGTCGAGTGTGGCATCGACTCGACGAGTACCCTCTGGATCCAAGAACTCAGATGATCTTCATCCGACTCGCCGAGTCAGATGAACAGACTCGACGAGTTGTTCTTGATCCTCAAGAAGATTGCCTTGGACTCGCCGAGTTGTATGAACAAACTCGCCGAGTCCCTCCATCACTGAGTCTACTCTTAACTCGCTGAGTCCACTCCCTAACTCACCTCGTCCACTCGACACTGAAGAAACTGAAGAACTCGGGACTCACGACCTGACTCGTCGAGTCGTTCTTCCGACTCGCCGAGTCGCCGCCATGCAACATATTTTTACTCGATTTCTTTTTGAATCCAACACATGCAAATGATAGATCTAGGTCCATTAAGCTATTTTACCACGTAAAGTTTCCAACTTTACGTGCACAACCACATGAATGAGGGAAATAAGACTAAAATATGCACAATAAGGGTAGATCCATGGCTAATAAGCAATGTAACTCCAAAAAGACAGTGGATCTGGACTCTACAACACCCCAACACTCAGATCCAAAGGTATTTCGGCTTAATAACACATTCAAGCAAGCATAAAGCTTGGAACAAGCATCAAATAGCCCTTAAAAGAGCTCTAATGGAAGTTTAAGCATGAAACCAGAAGAGAACTCCGAAAATACCTCAATAAGTTCACACTTGATCTTGGATCTTGGCACTAGAACTCGTTTCCTTGCTTCCTTCTTCTTCTCCTTCTTCACCCCTTCACAAAATGGAACAAGATCACTTATAAGCTCACAAGAGGAAGGTTTAGGGTTTCTCACAGTGCTCTCAGGGGGAAAGTGACGAGATGGAGGCTATAATGGGGTTTAAATAGTGAGCAAACCCGGGGAGTTAGGGTTTCACCCAGACGGACGGACTCGCCGAGTCCAGGATATGGACTCGCCGAGTCGCCGGCTCCCGCGTGCACAAGATGCGCGACCCGACTCGGCGAGTCAGGCTAGAACTCGCCGAGTCCCTCTTGAAAACTTAGCCCAAATCAAATTAATTAACATACCGGAAACGGGTCGTTACAACCTCACTGCTACTCAACGAGTAAGGCAACCAAATCGTCGAGTAGATCTTTCAACCAAATAAGATTTCATTTAATTCCATACCTGAGAATTGGGGCGTTACAGGCTTCCCCTCTATTTAAATTTTAATGTGTTTAAACAAATATGAATTATGTACCTGCATTGTAAGAAGCATCATAATGACCCTTGCCAATGACTGCAAGCATTCGCAAAAAGTAATGATTGCAGTATAATACTGCACAATCAAAGACACAACAAGGTATGCAAGCTTATCGAATCTTTTAGATCTAAGAAAAAGTGGAAATAAAATTAAAGGAGAACGCAGTGTCAATCACACTTACAATTAAAAACAAACTGCTTATTTTTTTTTTTTGTCAAAAAAATAAAATAAGTATGTATAGTAAAAGGAGGGAATAATAATGCGAAGCAATACCTATACCAAACGTGTTAATACATTGGTCAATTCTGATCCTTTGTGTTTCTAGTTGTTTCTTTATAACTTCACAGATTTGTCTCTCATTTTCAACAGCCCCATCAGTAATAAAGAAAACCATTGGAACTGATTTACTTTTCCCGGAAAACATTATCTCTATCACCTAAAAAGTATAAAATCATCACATGAACATCAACATGAAAGCAGATAATCTGATTATTGTTATCATCACTATTATTCACAAACCCAATTAACTAAAAAAACAATAACTTGATTTAGAGCCATTAAAATGTTTGTACCACCAACCACCACAAAATTCTTTTCAATCCATTAGGTTGCATTTCCAATTGATTCCTTATTTGCTAACTCTAAAATCGATGAATATAAATGAGTCTCATCATTAAATGTCATTATACAAAAACGATCCTCTTCATCAAGCTTTGAGATTGCTGATATCCCTACATTCTTTGTAACCTCAAATGTGTTTTCCTTCATGCTTTCACTCGTATCAACAACAAAAACAACTTCTTTCCTGCACATCTATCATATAAATTGGACAAAATCACCATTCTAACCTCAACTATTATATTATATACTTCCACTCTCACTGTATAATATATATCAATATCACCAACCTTTTTACCCTTATGTGGTCCTGCAAATAGATACAAGGAAAACATATCCCTTGATCAATATCCAATGTTGATGGAGACTGCAGAAGGATACTACCAAATGAATTCATTGTAGAAACCTAAAACATATTGCAAACACATATCACGTTACTTGATTTTATTTTTATGATAAAAATATACAAGGTGGATGAGCTTATGTGGTATTTGTATACAAAATCTATAGATGACCATGAAAGAACATCAACTTCATACAATAATGCCAACTTCCCTGGTTCTCTCTTTCATTCCTGGATTAAAGAATAATCAATTGTTTAATGGAAAGATTAAAGAATAATAAAATATTGATACAATCTATATTACCTTTAGTGGATGACTAGTAGTGTTACACACAACTTCAGTTGTGAGACCAAAGTTAATACTGAGTTGTATCTTTCCCTTTTTTGGGAGTTTTTTTCCAAGGGTAGTATTGGTACCAGTGAGGAACTGTAAAGTGGTAGTGTTTCATTAACAACAATTGCACTTTTTTTTGGAAAGGGATCTTACCTAACGAGGGTTTCCGGGCCAGCTTTCGCGCACCGACTAATCCCCCGCTGCAAACATAAAGCTTTGCTTCATGCCCTGGAGTCACTGCAGGCGAACCTCCATGGCCACAAGGGCTGAGTGGTGCTAGGATTTGAACATGGGTCAATAGGTTATCCACCATATCTTCCACATGCCTTACCAAGTCACCACAACCCAAGTGGTAAAGGTGACATCCAAAAATCCCACATCCACCATGGATTAATCATATCTGAAAGAACATAACTGAATTTCTTTGAAAATTAAACTAAAAACTTTTGCAATTTAATTACCTTTGGGCATGATAAATCCACCCAGCAAGAATACCACAAACAGACCACAAACAGCGCAACTGAACCGAAAGTATTGGCAGCTGAACCGAAAGCATTGGTAAAGTTCACGCCATCTGAGTTCAAGTAAGTCGAGTTCGTTGTTGAATAGGATAGCATCGAAGACATTGCGTGGTTCAGAGCTTACGGTCCATCCATGGAGGTTGTAGAGGTTGTTGATGGAGGCGTTTTCTGGGTAGTAATGGGGTATGTACTGAAATGGAGGTGGTGGTGTTTCCCAAAGTGGTCGTAAGAATGAAGATATGTTTTGGAATTGGGTGTGATTGAAGATGGCGATAAAAGAAAGGGCCACGAGTATCAGAAGTAGAAGAAATGTGTACCTAATAAACCCTCGTTTGGTGACATTCCATCTTGCGTCCATGATTTTGGGCTTTCTTTCACCTCATGATCCGCCGAACCACCGACAACTTCCCTTTGATTTTCTTATTCGACCTTTTTATGTTCGCCATCTCCCTCTTCCTTCTGCTCTATTAGATGAAGAAAGGTGAAGTGAGATAGCAGTCGATGATTCGATGGTTTGTAGGGAAGATGGTTTGAGGTGTAATGGCACAAGCTGATGCTTCTGGATATATTGATGATGGTTGTTGTTATGGTAGAGATATTAATGGTACCACAACTTCAGTCGAGTTATCAACGGTATCGTTTTCTGAAGCGGCGGCCATGAAGCCGAAGGCCCTAGGGCTTTTTCTTGGACTTGGAAGAGGCGGGCGGGAAGGGCGGGGGGGGGGGTGTTAATTTTTGGGATTCAATAGGTGGGTGAAATCCCACCTTAAAAAATGTGTGTTTTGTTAAAATTATAAAGCGACACATTTAGGTGTTGTTTGTTTTTTCGAAGCAAAAATATCTGAAGTCTGCGGACCACCTCTGCAACCCTCTGTAGCATAAGAGGTGGAACAAACGGCTGCAACATTTAAAAAAAAGTATGTTTGTTTTTTAACGTCTGCAGACTGCTGCAGTAAGTTAAAGTAAGACGTGGAGAGGCTTGAAGCAGCTGGTTTAGTGTTGCGCCACGCAGTACACGCGCATCAGTTTTTAAGTCAGAAGTCTTCTGAAAAATAAATAGCTACGAAGGACCAAGTGTTGCGCGTGTGCTGCGCGACGCAACAACAAGAGGTTAGAAGAGGTTTTTTTAGAAAAAACAAACAGCACCTCAGAGGACGCACATTTTATGAAAGGCCCTCTACATTTTTTTCTTTTCTGACACTAGTTTTAGTGCACACACAAATGCGTGTCCTCTATCAGCGAGTGTCATTGTTTGTGCGTCATTAAGGGCTATTTTCTAGTAGTAGAAATTACCAAGCAGCCCCCTATCTTCCATAATCTCTTCAAATGAAGTCCTATAACTTACCATTTACTCCCTGCCTTCATAAATACTTACAAAACTAATCTGGAACTTACACTTTTAACCCTCAACTTCTAAAATTCTTCACAAATCAGTCTGGGACTTACATTTATTAATTTATTTAAATAAATGGGGGTTTAGAACTCTCCCCCACTTAAATTAGATTTCGTCCTCGAAATCCATCTTTACCATTTCTTACACGCTAACTACTCAAGTAACATGGTCATAATCTTGGGTACATCCTAGCCGTCTCAGGGTAGCTATGACCAATCATCGCAAAGCCCTAACATCTACAGACGAACTAATTCCTCGCAACAAGATCACATCTACTTAATCTGAATTCTGTTGTCTTGAGATGGTCTGAATCCCTGATAGACCACTCTTACTGAATCATTATTGTCGAATCCAGTCCACTTGTCTCTCAGCTGCCTACTCATCTCCTGATAAATCAAGGTTCCCACTAGAAAAACATAATCACAAACCCACTTATTCCTGTGATTCACTCATATTTGGCTAAGACTCAGATAATCCCGTTGTGAGTGACTTGTCACTTCCCTCAACCAGCTATCATGTCTGTACTTGCAACTTAGGGCACAAATACTAACATTGCCAAACCGTTGAAACTGACCGAACATTAAACTGCCTGAAGCAGTATGCTGCTACATAGTTGCTTCTAAAAATCTATTGAGACCTCCCTGGTCACAATTCATCTGTCATCCGTCTGAAATATCGGGTTCTAGCCTGGTCACTCAACTAAAAGGGCTCCTACCTAGTCATTTCTTACGACTTCTGAGCAAAATCCTTCTCTGAACTAGTTGCCACTTGTTACCATGTCATTGAAGCTCTATCAATTTCTCAATCCAACCGATCTGGTCCATGCGTCGAATCCTGACATTACCAAATCCCAAGCCAAAAGTGATTGCCACCTAACCGTTGGTAGCCTTATATCACAAGCGACCTTAAGCAATTCGTTGTTTCCTTTATCTCCTAACTATAATGGCATTACTATAGCCTTATCACTGGTCCAACCTGATATAATCCTTCTGGGTAATTCCAAAATCCAATTTGTAGATTTGCATATCCTTAATTTTGCACCTAAACTGGTGCGTACTACTGTTTATTATGCATCCTAACAATGTGCTCATGCTATCAGCCAACGAAGTGAAGGTTGAGGCTACACTCACAGACTTACATCACTCAAGTACTATCTGCTTATTAATAAATGCTACGGCTACCCCCTCGCAGTCTTACAACACTTTCCATACCAATCGAACACACACTCGACCGAACTCCAAACCCGCATAACCCTCAACCCAAATGGCCACTTAGGCCACCTTTTTCATCGGGAAGTCCATCCCGGTCCTATACTTGTCCCTATCCTGAATACTTGCATGATTCTCCCCCACTTAGATTCAACTAAGTCTTTTCAATACATGAGATTGGAAGGATTCCCGATCCTTCTTATTTGTTAATCACCCACTGCTGACAACCTATTTCTTGTCCGAGCGAGTGTTCCATTACAGGCCCCAAACCCCAAGGGCCATACAACTCCTAAAGATTCGACAACATTTTCCAAATTCTAGCGAGGCTAATACTCTCAGGCGCCTTGAAATAATGCCCCACCTATTTCCTGAAGTCCAATAACCGATGTCTAGACCAAACCTCAACAGTAACCCACTTTTCATAGCGCTTCCACAAGATGACCTGAGCATAATGGCTGAGTCACCAATCTTGTCCGTAGGCCTTCCGCATCAAGTCTCTATACCGATCTCGACTACCAACCCAAACAACGTTGGACGCTCCAAACCAATCCTTGCTCTTGAGATCCAAAAACCATATCATTCAGGGTCTCGCACCCTGATGCACTTACCAACTCAATCATCAACGGACAATCTGCAAGTTGGAGCAACCTCTACCGTACCCGAGTTAAAACTACATCCCAAGTTGGTCTCAAATACTGGAAGCATAATATAACACAGAATCAACCTGTGTTGTCCGATACAGGAGCCCCACAGTGAACTCAAAACCATGGTAGTCCTTCCACTAACTGGCTCACCACTGGAGTTGGGTCCAAACCCTGGTCCTTCTCCTTACGCGCTCATCCGCATTCCGCACAACAACTATTTCCACGGTCCAATCATAACCAATAATCCCCTTTCCCATTAGTTTCTTAGATTCTCCAATACTTTCACTGATTTAAGTATGGATCCTGTGCTATCAGTAGTACGGGCCCATACTACCTTCCACACCTATCCATACTTTTCTTAGAAATCCTCCCGAATCCTCTAAGTCATCTATTCCACTGGTACTAACAATCGCTAAACAACAACACAATATCCACCGAAGCACCTCCTAGGCTCCCAACCCCACCGAACTGCCTCTACTAAGCTCACTATAGAATATCCTAGGCTTTCCTAGGTTCTCAACCTTGTCTTGCCATCAGATGTTAAAGAACTCCCCACAATACCAGTCATCCACCTCCTGGATATCATCATATCCACTTAGTAGCTGACTCACATCGCTTAAAAGTTCCACAAAGCACAATGCAAGCAACATTCGTGTATTAGCATTCTGATCCAAAGAACTATCTGTTGGATTAGTGTCTAAGTCCATAACTATTTTGGTATGTACTTGACTCGATTATGAGCATGGTCCTTTTGGGTTGCCTTCACCATAGCAATATGTAGGATGATTTAAGGAGAGAAAGGTTTAAATATGATTTATTAATATATTATGAGAATAATATATTAAAGGGGAAATCATATTGTTTAATTAATATTAGTCAATAATTAATTAAGAATTAATTTTGTGACTAAAAGAGATTAATTAAATATAGGGGACTGGACTGCAATTATTGGATAATTGAGTTATTGGGCTAAGGAATGCTAAAGGAATAAGGGGTGAACGAAATTATGATGGAAGCCCATCATATTTTCGTCCATAGCCTTGTCCAGAAGGTTCCATGGGCTGCTTAGAGTTTAAGCTGTCCATTAGGGTTTTGACTGAAACCCTAGCAGCCCACACAAATATATAAAGGACCCCTTAGGCCCCAAAAACGTGGACAACTGATTCTCTAGGGTTTCTAGTCGTTTTTGGGCAGCCTCCTTACTTCTCCTCTTCATCCAAGTTGCATATGGTGTTTGTGACTCCATTAGAGGTACTACATTGTGGTGCTTGCTTTCAAGAGCTAAGGAAATTCAAGGAACTAGTTGTTATTGCTATATAACAACAAAAGGTATGTATTCTAGCTTTATATATGAATTTCGAAAATTATAGTAGCATGCCAGGTTTCTTTTTGTGTTCATAAAGTTGTATAACTAATAGTGAAAACATAGATCCAATACTAGGGTTGCATGCACACATAGGATTGTTTGTATAGGTCCCAACAGTGGTATCAGAGCCATTGGTTTTTGTTTTCAATTAGCTTTTATTCAAATTTATGAACTTGACATATTAGGGTTTATGGCTAATGAACCCTAAAGGCTAGGTAATTTTCGCAATTAGGGTTGCAAAACCCTAGATGGCGATTTTTGCTAGGGTTTCCCAAATCCTTTCCTTAGCCTCCAAGATTTTGAAATCTAGGGTTATCCAACCCTTGGATTTCGAAATTACCTCCTTCCCTAAGGTTAGATCCTAAATTTTAGGGATTTGGATAATCTCATATCTTGTAATTATCTTTTAATTGTTAAATATGGTAATTAAAGATCTTGAATTATCCCATCCCTTATTTTCGAGATTTAGAGAGGGATTCAAGGGATTAGGATATCTTAGATGTATAATTGTTAATTATCCTCATGATCTAGATAATCCCTTGTGATTTAATAATTTAAATTAATTGTTTAATTTATGGTAATTATTAAATCAAGAGTTTTAATATTTAAAATTTTAATTTAAATGTCTTAAATTCGAAAATTTGAAGTCTGATTAAAACCTAATTGTTTTGAAGAGTTTCAAAACTTGCCCTCAAGTTTTGGAATTTAAATTGTTGATTAAAAGTTAATTTTGAAAGTCTAAATTCC